ACCTCTCCTGGCATCAGGAACAAGAGGCAGAGGACGCCGCTGGACTGCGCCTACGAGCTGGGCGGAAAGGTCGTGGAGTGCCTCACGCTGAATCTGAGGACCCACAGGGTCCTGATGTCAGCGTCACGGCGTCGCTCCGTCTCAGTGACCAGGCCGACTCCACGGTGCTGACATCAGGGCTCTTTGCAGGTCCCGCCTTTGTAGTCCAGCAGAATGAATTTGAAACCGATGCTGATGTCTGATACATGATTTTAAAATCATAAAATGTGATGAGCATGAAACTGCACAGCACCTTCCAGTATGTTCAGCTAGCTGTAGCTCCCAAAAAGCTTCAGAGTTCATAGAAAGCATGAAAGTAAACCCCCTCGACTCCAAATGTATGTCTTTGGACTGTGCTAGGGTAGCTTTGTATGATTCACAGCTCAAAATAATCCAAATGTGTGTAACTGGAGCTCAGCGCCAACACAGAGAGCTTAAACGGCTCGCTGACCTCGCAGTGGCCGGTGCACAATTGTAATTATTAAGAATGGGACCGTGATCTGCTGAATATGAGAAGTATGAACTTCGTCTTCTTTTACTTTGGAGTCGTTCCTGCGGGGTTCTCCTGGAGCTGTTAGCTCTTCATCGCTGCACCGTCGTGCAGGTCTGAAGACTTATATTCCTGTTATCTCGTGCAGAACACTGAAATCCTGCGAGCTCTGCAGAAAGCGTCTGGACTCTCCCCTGATGATGAACCGATCAAACTCCTCTCCGTCCCCAAAGGAGCTCTGGGTAACTAACACCAGCAATAAATCCTACAAAGCAGGCTTTACTTAAATTTCATTCATTAGAATGGGGACTGTGATCCACAGCTGTGTAATCAGGATCGTTTCTGTGCTTTTGCTCTTTCAGCTCATTCCTTCGTGCAGCGTCTGAGGCTGCAGGATAACTCCAACAGCAGGAAGCAGAAGCTGGCTCAGTCCATCAGCAGGTAGGCCGCAAACAAGCCACGAATCCACACCAGTCACAAGAAACCATCCCACTCATCAAGGGAAAGCAAACCACACGTGCAGTGACTGCTCTGAGCAATCGCAGTAACATTTCTGAATCTTTTCATATTCACGATGCAAAATTCTTAGAAAGTATTTGAGTGTTTGTTTTTTTCCTCGTGAATATTCTCAGAGGATATTCAGGCTTATTTCTCAGGAATATTCTGAGATTAGAACAGAAGAACAAACTGAGGAGGCTGAGCTGAAGATGCTCAGGTCTTCGTTGGGAGGGAGGAGGATGGATCAGAGTCGGAGAGGCTGAGATGGTTTGAGCGTGTGCAGAGGAGGGAGGGTGGAGATGGAGCTCAGAGGAGGTTCATGGATGTAGAGGGCTGGATGACAGGGTGAGATGGAGGCAGATGATGCGCTGTGGCGCCCCCTAGAGGAAGCAGCTGCAGGATTAGATTAAGAGAAAGTTGATTCCTCCTAAATGTGATTTATTCCGCTTTATTTCTGAGTGTATTTCACAGACATTTGCAGCTTTAGTCTGAGAGAATATCAGAGTTTATTTCTCATGAATGTATGACTTTAACCTTCCACCATCGACCCTCAGCCCCATTTTTCTTTCCTTTTTCCCACCTGCACCTTCAGGATGCAGCAGATGAGGAAGGGTTCTTCAGGTTCTCCACCCAGGTGTTCTCCAAACCTCAGCCAGGTACACGCGTCTTATTCTCTTATGTACTTTGGTATTTATCGGTGTTTCCGGTCTGGAGCAGGACGGACTTTAGTTCTGCTGCCGTTTCGTTGCAGGTGAATCCGGACAGGTGGAGGCTGAGGCGAGGCGAGACGGTGGCGGTCAGCAGCCCCACAGGAAGCCTCAAAGAGCGGCGCCTGGCTCGCTCTCACACCCTCGACACCGGAGCGCACACGCCGGAGCGAACGCACGCGCTGACCGTGGCTGACCCGACAGACGTCGCGTGCGCTCCTGAACTACCTGACGGCGCCGAATCGCTCTCCACCGACGCCTCCAGCTGCAGCACGGGCAGCGAGACCTCGCCGTCCACGCCGTCAACTACATCATCGCAGGTCGACAGCTCGGCTGACGTCCCGCTCGCAAACATCCTGTCTGCTCAGTCTGACCCCGAAAGCCAGACCGACCGAGATTTACACGCAGACTCTTCTGACGGCCGCCCTCGGCCTGGCGAGGAAGCTGAAGGCTTACCGTCAGAGCACAGGGATGAAGACTCCACCCCTTATCCCCTTAACCTGCCCTCCCCGACCCAGAGCGAAAGAGTCGAAGAGAGCAACGCCAATCAGCAGCCAGAGCCCAGCGCACAGTGATGCAGGGAGCGCGAAGCACAGACGGCACGAGTAGCAAGAAGACCGCCGAAAGAAAAGCACACGAGACTCCGGATCCTCACGAACCAAACGTCCTCTCACTGCAGCGCGTCGGGTTGTATTTGTCCCGCTCGGAGGTTTCCGCCTCCTCGGGCAAACTGAAAGGGCGTCGGGCACCATCCATGTTTTGCGTCAGTGGGGACGTCAGAGACGGCCCTGACTCAGAAACCTGGATCAGGTTTAACCCGCACAGGCTCGGCGCCGCTCGCGCTCTCTTCTCACTCGTTAACATAAACTAGAAGCTGCATTTTTTCCACTGACAGGTTTCCGAACTTTGTTTTTCAGATGTTTGAAAACTGCTCGGCGCTTTTGTGCGGAGGCGAGCGAGATCCAAACCATCCTCGCACGGGGAACTCTTTACATTGAGCTTCAACACGAACGTCTCAGCTGAGTTTAAAGCGCTTTCTACTTCCAGCCTTCACGGAGAAAAAGGGATGCAAGCTGATTTCATTTCTTGCTGTTTGAACGTCCTCGCTGTAGTTTGTGCTGCTGCTCTGTGCCGCTGACTTTTTTACTTTGGTTTAATCAGGATGATCTTATTTTATTTAGGAGGGTGGAGCTCCGTGTGTCTCCCTGTCCGCTGCTGAACCTCGCTGCGAGCTTTTATCCAGCAGATTTTAATCCAACACCACCGCCGGCTGTTTTCCAAATCAAGCTGTTTGAAGGATTTCCGTCTTTTTACCGGCGCTGATGATTTTTGAGCACCAACATTAACACCGCTGACCCCTCGAGTGGAGAGTGAGCCACGTTTATAGTTTGATAGAAATCTGTATGGAGTGAATTCGTATGACATCCATCTGAATACTGTAACGCTTAACCGATGGGCGTGGCTTCTTTTGCAGAGAAGGATGGGCTTCATTCACAGTCACTGAACTGGACCTGTGGACTGTTTGTGCTCCTCACAAACTCTCATGTAACACTTGAACCTCATGGCTGAGGCCATAAACTCATCAGGAAGTGTTACTGACTCACGGTTTCCTGTACAGGAAGTCTTTTTGCGTCGCCCCCTGCTGGTCGTTAGAACGAATGCACCTTAACGCGCTTCAGCGTTGACTTTCCTACGGCCATGTTTTTTATGCTATGATGTCCGTGGTGATAATTTAGCATTTCAGCCTCTCGACCAAATCCGTGCACAAAGAAAACGTGACAGCGGCCACAAACGTGGAGTGCGAGCGTTTCTAAACGGTCTTTGGTCCGAAGTCAGAGCTCCATCAGCTCAGGTGGTTTATTAACCTTCAGTAAGGACGTCGAGAACCGAACCAAACTGTCTGAGCTTCCTCTTGATGCCTCATGAAATCATGACATCATCGAACACAAACTGTGAGTCCAAACCCCAAAAACCCGACTCAGACTGTTCAGCCTGATGAATGACTGAAAACAAATCAGTCTGATTTTTATCCCTCTGTCAGGTTAATTTCTGAGTTTCGGTCTCTGTACTTCATGAAACGGTTGTAGCTACCTGATGAAACGAGCGCGTCTTCAGAGGAAAAAGACAAACTGTGGTATTCCATCACAGCCGACTGTGCTGCTGTTTAATGTTTCATATTTGTGGTTTTGACGGTTTTACTCGAGAGTCGATTTGATGGTTGCGAGCAGAGTGCTGTAAACGTGTCTCCCATCAGTGTCACTGTTTCCTGTCTCCCTCACACAGGAACCACCTTTATGTTTGAACTTCGTCTGAGCGGATGTCAAAGCCGAGTCTTAATGATGATGTGAATGTGCCTTATTTAATTTAAACCCAAATAAACAAGAATAAACCTGCGATTCAGACAAATGATATTTGGTGTTGTTTTTGTTTCTCAGTGTCGTTGAAGCCGGTCTGTGCTGCTTTTCTGTCATGTTCTCATTAAAATTAGCCGATAATCAAACCAGACGGGACTTCCTGGTGTGAGGGCCAGCCCCGGGGTCCAGTGTAATTATTTTGAATCATTCAGAGCTGCTCGAGCAGGTTTGGATGGTTGGCCTCAAATGTTTAAGGTGGAAATGAGCAGAATCGATTTAATCTGCAGAAAAAGAGTTGGAGATGATTAATGTGAGACTGAGGAATTGTTTGGTTGATGAATTTTAAAAAGCAGAGATGTTTTAAATGAAAGGTGGCAGCTGCACCAGTGTTTTTCATTTAGCAAATGGAACCAAGTTCAGCTTTTGGCACTTTGCACCAAATCATTTTCCTGCAAGTTGTTTCAACAGGTGTCGTTACAGCGATGAAGGGAACAGCTTTGAGCGGGGAGGTCGTTCTTTGGTTTCACGTGAAATCTGAGCTGCAGTGTTCAGGACAGCCGTGAGAAGAGCTGGCGACGTTTAAGTCTGACTTGACACCGCCACAGGAGGTTGGAGCGACTTGTTTCATACGCTGTGACGCAGATGTTTGAAGGATCTTTAAGGTGTTTGTGAGGTTCTGCCAGAAAAAGATGGTTCGAGTGTTTTAACACAAAGAACAAAATGTTTCCAAGACTGCAAAGCGTCCAGACTTCCACTCATTTATCTTTGAAACTGTTGAAATTCAGAGACGTGCAGAACAAACAAAGCTAAATCTTCCAGCTGTTTGGGTTGATCACACACAGCACAGAGCGAAGGATGAGCCTTCGAGGCAGCACTCTTTCATTCAACTGCCTGAATTTGGTATTGATTAATGTTTGTTTAACAAAAGTTAAAATCAACACGTTGTGTTTCCTCTTCAGGATGATTCTAATCAGTCTTGTTGTTCCTCCAGTTGTGTCACCACACTGCGCAGTTTATCCAGCAGCACTGCACAGGAGAAAATATCAAGACTGTAATAATGAACAGAAACTTCAGTCTCACCGTGACCGTAATCACATGTACTCAGTCACAGAGTAACTGAACTCACCTCCAGCTGATGGCCTCTGGAAGCCGTCGTAGGCCCGGCACTCGTTGATCAGCTGTCCCAGTTCTGCAGGACAGTCATCGGGAAGCGGCTCTTGATACTTCTCTTCATACACCACCTGATAAATTTTTTCATCTGAAAAACCTACGAGACATTTGAAGACACGTCAGGAGGAGAAGTCGATGGAGAGGACTCCAAATCTTAGTTTAAATCTGCAGTGAGTGTAGTTTAGACACAAACCTTCAAAAGGATTCTTACAGGTTACAATTTCCCACAGGATGATTCCAAAACTGAAACAAGTTCAAAAGGAAATTTGATCATTTGACAAACCACAGCAGGTCTGAAATCAGTAAAGTGTTCTGAGGTCAGCCAGGAGCTGTTTTCACACAAACCCCCAACCAGAGGAGTCTCGCTCCGATGGCACATGTAAGTCACTTCTACATCAGCTTCACTTTCAGACCCACAAGCTAAGTCCATCTTTTAGAAAGTTTATGATTGAGGGCCTTTGAGCACACCTCTGTGGACCCACAGCCGTGGGGTCTCACCTGTACATCTCCCACTCTTTGCAGTAGCTGAAGCTGGCGTCGTGGAACTTCTCGGGACAGTGGTAGCACAGCGACCTCACGGCTCTGTCCTCCGTCTGCCTTTTCAGAGACGTCTCTGTTTTCGACAGCCTGAAACCTCCCAGCTGGAAACAACAACCAAACCGTCACATGAAGCAAATATGTTCAGCTGCAAGGAATCCCAGCATGCATTGCCTTCAGTACCTTGACGGTGTAGTGTTTAGTCACCAGGAACTTGCTGCTGTTGATGGACCCGTGAACCCTCCATTTTTCCTCTGTGTTGTGCAGTCTAAGATACGACAGGTAAAGTCATCATCACCAACATGACTCTATGAACGACACGGTCACTGTGAAGCTGCCCAACTCTAAAGAAGATGCAATGATTTGCAGACCTCAAACTTTACTCACAGAACTCAGAAAACATATCGAAGGTTTCAGCTGAGAAACTTTACAATGCAAAGAAAAAGTATTGGCTCCTTTTGAACTTGAGAGCAGGAACATATCTCCTAAAAGTCGGGCCGTGTTTCCCGCTGTGTAGAGTTCCTCTTCTTTTAACAACAGCCTGTAACTTTGTGTGAACTGAGGCTGCCGTACTTCTGGGAGAGGAACACTCCCGGGTCTCCTTCGTTCTGTTTGGTTTCACGATGCTCCAGATGTTCTCAGCTGGTAGGCCGCGTCGCCACCTGCACTCTTTACTGAGAAGCCGTGCTGTTGGAACGGATGCAGTCTGTGGTTCAGCATCATCCTGCAGAAACATAAAGGCCTTCCCTGGACGGAGCATATGTTGCTCTAAAGCCTGTATATACCTTTCAGCATTGATGGAGCCTCTCCAGATGTGCCAGCTGCCAGTTTCGTTGATACGATCCCCAACCCATCAGAGACGCAGGCTTTGAACGAAGCACTGATAACGAGCGGGATGGTCCCTCGCCTCTTCATTAACCCGATTAGGTGCAAAATGTTCCTCCATCTTTTCCTCGTAGCACCACTTACTGTTCCAGCCTCCAACTTTTTCTGTGTGCTGTTGTAGATAAAATAACTCTGACCCTGATGAGATCTGCAGATCGTTGCCTTCTGTCTTCATTTACATTTTACACAGGGTCCCAACTTGTTTGGAGTTTAGGTTAGAATCTGTAATAAAGCCGACACACTGACCGATAGAGTCCTCGTGCTGCATCCAAACACATGTGAGCTTTCCTGATCCAGGTCAGAGTGAGGTCAGAGTCCAGAACCTGGCGAAGACTTCCTTTCTCACAGTACTCCATGATGATGAAGAACTGAGGCTTGGGTCCTACAGGCAGACACAAGGACAAGCTATTACAGGTTTGTCACTGAGTGTATTTATCTGTGATGTTTTCACGTATTTATATGTGGGGATAGCGTGTAACAGACACTCTGGTCCACCGTGAGGATCCCCCCCCCCGACGTGGACACGCAGACCTCTGTGTTCACACGCTCACCGTTCTCATCCTGGATGCAGATTCCAAACATTCGCAGGATGTTGAGCGACTCAAACTGCTTCATGGTGTCGACTTCCTTGTTGAAAATAGACTTCACGTCTCTGGATGTGGAGAAAATGTTTGATGGCAGTGAATACAGCAGGACACAGAGAGCACTGGGAGCCTGAGCTGGAACAGCATATAAGTGAATGTGTGTGTTATTTTCTAATGGGAAGGACTATTTTCCTGTGTTTCTTCCCAGTATGGGGCTGAACTGTGGCACTGACCGTGCACTGGTGTTCATGGGGTCGAGGTATCTCTTGATGGCCACTGGGAATCCCTGATATTCTCCTTTGTAGAGCTCGCAGCTCGCTGTTGTCTTGAAGGGCTTTTTGGGATGTTGATACTTCAGTTCATCTGGTTTAATCTGTCGCACAGCCACGCTGCTGAAACTGGGCTTATTCACTGTGAACAAAAAAGATAAAGACTCCAATGATAAATCCCACTTTCTCAACATAAGATGTGTGTTTTGTCAGTAAGTCACCATTCACAGACTTGTTTATGACACAACTCTGCGCAGGGCCGCTCAGCGATGTCGTACTCACACATCTGCACCACTTTGTCCAGCTGTCTCAGTATGGTGTTGGTTTTCTCCTGCTGCTCTTTCATGTAGTCCATCAGCACTGAAGAACAGAGAGAAACACAAACTCTGAGTCTGGTCCAAACGCTCTAACAGGATTTATTCTAAGTGTGGAAACACTGAGAGGAACAGAATCCGCTTTGGTGAACCAGGATCAAAACACTAAAGAGCTCTGCTTGAACGTCTCTAAAGACAAATTCAGTTTCTCCTCACATTTGGTCATCTCCGTGTCGTCCTCCTTCCCGTCCATTTCGTCTTCTGTCTCTCTCTGTCTAAACACCTCGTACAGCATCTTGCTCTGCTCTGATTGCAGAGCTAGACACAGGGCCTGGTAAGCATCGTTGAGCCGCTCGCTCACCGTATCAAACTCTTCTCCGTGGCTGCCCGATTTCAGGATGCGCTCCACCAAGTTGGCTGCCGTGTATTTTTCAATTAGCCTCTGTGTTGACTCCAGAGTTAGGATCAGCTCCTCGACGGCTTTCTCTACCTCTGGAGAGAACTCTGTGATGGACTTCACTACATCCTCGAGGGCTTTGACTCGGACCGAAATCCGCTGGCAGCGCTTTTTGTTGGCCTTCACGTTTTCAGCCAGGGTGTAAATCCCTGAGAAGGTGGACCAGATGGGCTCTAAAGTGTCCATGATGAGCTGAAGAGACAGAGAGGACAGTTTATACCAGGAAATGCAACACATCGCTCCCTCACCTAGGAAGTGATCGCTTGAATGTTTGGTGAAGTTAAATTGTAAAAAGCAACGGCAGAATTCAGGGTAATGTTCATCAAGGAAAGAGTTTTTTTGTCCTGTTTCTCCCCCAACCGGTCGCAGCAGATGGCCCCGCCCCTCCCTCAGCCTGGTTCTGCTGTAGGTTTCTTCCTGTTAAAAGAGAGTTTTTCCTTCCTGCTGTTGCTAAATGGTCAAACAGCTGTGCAGATGTAAGAAAACCCCTCATCAGTGAGACTAAAGATGAAAAATCTGTCTTCTGTTTAACTCTGTGTAGGCATAGAAAATAAAAACCTTTTTAAACCTTTTTTGTTCAGCACTAACAGCTTTTAATCAGTCAGTGTTTAACTGGTGATTCTCCACATTTAGTTTTAACTCTTGATGAACACTCGTGGCTCTCTTCTCATTCCCTGCGACACGGCTTCAGCTTCAGAGCCAGAGTTTCTCAACAGGAAGACAGTCTGCAAGCTAAACTACGAAACAGGATGTGAATGAAACACAATTACCAACACGCACAATACAAGGAAACACAAAGGGAGGAGGACATCAGCCTCAAAAAGACCCACCGAGAAATGATTTTTCTAATCAAAGTCCAAGTAGCTCAAAACCAGGGACCATGACAAGGTTCACATGATGTAGAAAGCAGTAGTTTATACCTCCATGCTCTGTTTATCGGTTCTTTCTTTATGTTTGCCCGGCCTCCCCGCGCACTGACAACGCTCCATCGGTTTTATTTTGGTAAGTGTTCAGTTTTACTTTCCCCGGTCTTGTTCCCCGATGTTCCCTTTCTCCCTAGTTTGCTTGTTTGTGTTAATAGCACGTTTCTCTGTAGCTACCCTGTTACCAGCGTTATCCCAGCCTTTGTTATGTGTCTGCCTCAGCTTCAGTGATTACCTCGCCTAGAATAAAAAGCCATTTTCAGTTGATGCCTGCTCGCCCATCAGTCTGCATTTGGGGTCCTCATCCACCATCTAACCTGACACCTTTCCTCTCAAAGTCTGAAATTAAAGTCTCAGCATCATAACCGCTCATGGGTGTATCCTCTGCAGCTACCTCTCAAACACAAAATCTCAGAAAACCTCCACAGGTGATCCACACACAAAAAAATCAAGCTCAGGAAATCAGGAAACTTTTTAGGTGAATTTTCAAACGAGTGTCTTAACTGAGTCATCAAATGAAAAAGACCAGCTGTGAGCAAAGAGGAGAAGCAGGAGAAAGACGGTTTACCTGTCAGGTAAAGTCTGCTCTTCTTCACACGGCAGTCTGCTGTTGGAGCAGACTCTTCAGCCTGCTGCTCTGCCTCTTTGCTTCCTGTCTGTCAGTTAAAGGCCACGCCCCCAAAAGTCAGTTTAATCCAGGAAGCAGAAACTGTGCATAGCTGCACTTTATCCACACACTTCCTCAGTTTTCCATCATGGAAGTGTGTGCATGACACAGGAGGGACATTTTTGACTCGTTTATCAGACCTTCAGTGTGGCTGAATCCAAACAGCTCTGCCAAAACAGAAACCAGACAAAAGCTTCTTCCCCATCTGTCAGTGTGAACGAGTAGATTCACTCTCACTGAAACATTTCTGAACCAAATCTGAATCTGCAACGATGCAGGGGTGCTCTACACTTCCACGTGCATTCATACATACACGTGTAGAGTATCTATGTGTAGTATTTTGCAAGGAAACAGTATTTTACTTCTAAAAAAACTCCACTGCAAGTATAGACTGTATATAAAAGAAGTGAGGCAGATGCAGAAAGGCCTTAACCCTCATAATGTCCTCCTGATTTCCATACACCTGTGGTCCTCAGGGGACAAAAATGTCCCCATCTGGTTTGATTGATACTTAATTAATATGAAGTGGATTTTTCCCCACTTTTAATTAAAACTTAATTCAAACATTTTTAACATTTTTTTTATTCCATTTCAAATTTAAGTCTGATAAAAACCTCATAAAAATGAATTTTTTCTTTGTTTTCGGGTAAAAAATAAATTAAATCATCGGTTATCGTGAGGATCGTTTCACAACCAGAGTCGGTTGCTTTAACAGATGATCACAGCGGGTTTATGTCAAAGTTAATTTAGAAAGCTGTTTTTAAACTACAAGATTTTTACTGGCAGCAAATAATCACACCTGTTGTCCTCTGGGCTCAAAAATGACCCCGTTTGCTTTCTGTTAAGCAACAAGTATAAAATATCATCCATCTCTGTGTTTCAAGGTTTTATTCAACTTTATTCCAACTCATTGCCTGACAGTTTTCTATATTTTGGCATGGTAGGAACACCAGGGCATGAGTCTGAGTGAAGGCAAACTTTCATGAGGACAAAGGCGTGTCCATATTTGACCCAAGTGCAGGAGGAAGCTCAGGTTTATTCCTCTGCACTGGTCCCATCATGGACAGCATTCTTTCTGCAGTTGCAGGCCAAGGGGCATATACAGTAAACAAGCTGTTACAGGTGATTGTTTTCTTTTGGAAACCTGCAATGTTAGGGACAACTCGTGTCCTGACTGCAGGACAGACGGTTTGCCATCGCACACGAGCATGTTCCATGTACAGCTGGACCTGCATCACATGCTGCCCATGTTTTTGTCTCATAGTTCCCTGGTTTACTTGGATGTTCTGTTGGACAGAGTCCTCTGAAGGGGACTTGGTGCTCATACAGTCACATCAGTACCAGGATCTTACATCACAGCAGGAGAGAACACCCACTTGTTCCATACACCTCAACAGGGAGCACGTTTGTGTCATGAACGACGATCATCTATTGTGTCTTTATCAAGAAATTATGTCCTTTTTGTGCTTCTATGATTAATCTTGTGTCAGCATGAAAACTTCTCTACCAGACTCAGGATGTCATAAACTGGCCGTAGCGACTCTACTGGATGCACGGCAGTAAGAATCAACACACCCACATATGCCTACAGCTGCATTCGGTCCATTTTTCTTCCTCTCTTGTTGTCCCTCCTTGTTCATCATTGAGTTGGCTGTAGAGCAGGTCATCTGCTAATTGGATGGTTGTTGGTTCAATCTCTGTGTGCTCTAGTCTGGAGTTCTTACCAAGGTGTCCTTGGGCAAGTTACTGAACCCCAACTTGGTCTCTGATGCATCCATTGGCATGTGAACGTTAAAAAGCAGAATACAAGCAGAATACACTGTGTGTAATGCTTTCAGTACTCGAGTAGAAAAGCCACTGAAGGAGTATGGGACCTGGCACATGTGCTTGGACTGTGGTAGATCATCTTTCTCTGAGGCACATGAGAGAGTCATGCATCGTCTGTCACTGGGAAGGTTAGAAGACCAGATCAGTGTTTCCTCACGTTACTGCAAATATTCCTCTGTCTCAGCTGATTCCTCTTTCCTGCTTGATTCTTTGTCTTCATCATAATTGAAATGGATGATGTGTAGTCCTCTGACACATCTTCTATTTCAGTTTCACATTCAATAGAAAAAAAAAAAAAAAAAAAAAAAAAAAAAATTTCAAGGAAACTTCAAGAAGCCCAGTCACTTTCTCTCCAAGCTCTCAGGACTACCATGTCCTGGATATCCTCTCTTTTTTT